GGTGCTGGGGCGGCCGCAGCAAGCTCTCGCGCTCCGCGGCGCCGTCGTCGTCGCCTCCCGGGCGTCCCCCTTGTGCTGAAGCCGAGGCCGGTAAAGGCGGTAACGACGGCGCAGCCTGGCAGCGCTTGACGGGACACAGGAAACACCGAGCGCGGAGGTTGTGGTGAAAGCACCTGCGGTCCCAGCAAGGTGCCCAAAACTGCCCAGGAGAAGCAACGAGCGGCCGAGCCCGGAGCCCGGCTTCGCAGCCTGCCGCTTTCCCACAGACGTGCGGTTTCCGCGCTTCAGTTTCCAGGGTGAGCCCTGCGATCTGAGCTCTGCCTCGTTGCCCCGCAGGCGCCTGGTGGAGCGGCTGGAGAACATGAGGAAGAACGCGATGGGGAACGGGCTCTCCCAGTGCTTGCTCTGCGGCGAGCTGCTCGGGCTCCTGGGCAGCACGTCGGTCTTCTGTCAGGATTGCAAAAAGGTGGGTGGACTCGGGCCGGCGCTGCCCGCTCCTGGTAGGAGATCTGTCTGCGGAAGGCCAGCAGGGCTCCCGGGTGGCTCTGTAGCGGTAACTTACCTTCGCTCCGCTCGCCTGGGCTCCTGCTATCAGGCCGCCAGGTCCTCTCTTGCCCCCTGGGTACTTTATTCCCCAGGACCCGAAAGTGCCTGAACTGCAGTCGGACGAGGTGCGTGAGTTGGGTACGGACTGAGCATCCGGCGCTTGCAGAGTGGGAGAAGGGGCAGAAACGTGTGGTCATCAGAGGCAACTCCGAAAAGGATCTGTGTGCTTTGCTGTAACTCGCTGCAGGGTCCGGCCTTAGATCTTCCAATAACACGTATCTTCAGAGGGCAAAAGGCTCAAGTCCATCTTCAAGCTCCAAACCAAAGCTTTCCAGCCCTGACGCTTAAATTCGCCTGCGCACTGGTGACTCCGCGCGCGTGCCTGCCGCGGGCAGGACTGCGCGGTGCCGCCCGAGCCGGAGCAGGGAGGCTCTCCTGGGGGAGGACTGTGGCTTGTCGGGGCTCAGGCAGCCCAGGGGTTAAACCGCATCGCTGTGCAGATGATGATCTCCAAGGCAACCACCTTTCCCTCCCTCCGCTGGGAGGCTGGTTTTGCTGCACTTGAAGCCCATCGGTCCCTGGGGAGATGTCTCCAGCGTGGGGCCTGGCGGAGGCGAGGATGCCCGGTGGCGCCTGGCGTGCCGGCCCGGAGGGAGCCCTGAGCTGCTGGGAAGGTGAATGCAAACGTCTAGCACAGGGAATAACAGGATACGCTGCATTCCTGGTGCTTCTGCTCTCACCTTGTCCGAAGCCAGCTGGTGTAGGAGGTCACGTTGCTGCAGCGCTTTCTAACCTCCCCCTTAGAGGCCCTGGGCCCTGAGGAGGAGGCAGAAGCCGGCGCAGGCGTTCCCCTGCTCGGTCTCTTTGCAGTGGCAGGTAGTAGCCCCACTAGCCAGGAGGCTGTGTGAGCCCAAGGCTCCTGGGGGGCTGCGGCCAGCAAACCCCGGAGGAGGGATGGGTCTTTTTGTGGGTATTGCCCTCTTGCCTGGAGTCTGGGGGGCAATTCAGGAAGAGTCAGGTGCAGGTTGATTTAAGGTGAGGTCCTACTTTCCAGTGTGCGTCTTGCAGCTGCTTGCAGCTTGGCTGCACTTTTCAGCTGTGTGCCAGCTCCGGGCGAGGCTGGCGGGGCGCCCCGGGCTGGTCCCCTTCCTGCTTTTTCGTGCTGTGGTGGGAACTGCGGGAGCAGTCAGCCCTGCAGCAGAGCACGCACGGAGTGGGCTGCTCCTTGAAGCTTGTTCCCTCTCCTCCAGGGATATCCATCATTCGTGCCGTGTTGTATGCAGTAAGCAATGACTTATCAGGGAATTATGGATTTCTTAAAGTTCATATTTTTCTTGCTAGCGTTGCTCTATTACTGCCTCACCGGAAAGTCGTCGTAGCCCGTTTAGTTCAATAACAGGAATTGTTGTAATGATGCTTCTGAAATGTAGCTATGAACTTACCTTCAGCAGGTTTTTCCTGCAGAGCAGAGGTTCTGTAGCCCTTGTAGCCAGATGGATTTTCTACGTGCCACTTTCTGTTTTATCATTTAGAGGTCAAAATGAAGAATGCTTTTAATATTAGTTTTTTATCATCTTAGAAATAAATGCATTGGGGCAAGACAAAGATGGATGCAAATTCAGCTATATTAACAATAGCAGCAGTTAGACAAAGCCTAATGTGCAATTTACCATGCAGAGGGCATCAGCATTGCGTCTAAAAGGTGAAATATAAGTAGGAGAGGAAAATGCTTTTTCTTGTACGTGATGAGGAACAGGGTTGCGTTTAGTGTCTTTGACTGTTATGCCTCCCTCCGAGGGGCTGCGGGTGATGCTCGGTTTTCCGGCTCGCCCGCAGAGGAGGGGAGGAGGAAAGCCCTGTTTTATACTGAGCTTTCGCAATTTATGACTAGGAATAAAAATCGCTTGGAAACTTCCACTAGAGGGAGCGTTTGAATGCGCTTTGCATGTGGGGATTAAAATCTCTGAGGGCAGGTACGCCTGGGTCGGTCCCGCAGGTTTGGGTGGGAAGGAGGGAGAGTTTGGGGTAGTGCCGCCGCCCGTCGGTAGCCGCCAAGCGCTTGCTGAGCGAAGGGGGAGCCGAGGGGTTTAAGGGTACGCGCGGAGGGGAGGGGGTCCAGCCTCGCACCACCACCGGGTAACGTAAAACCCGCTAATACAGGTTTTGGTGTTTGCTTCGGTTTGCGTTTTGCACTACGACAAGCTAGCGCTCGTTTTATACCTGGTGGCATGTGGGGTATTAAAAAAAAATAAAACCCACCGTGCTGGAAAAGTGCCTGTTGGTCTGGTGGTTTGACTTGCCCTGTCCGGTCTCGTCTCACCCTGGAGTCGGGCGCTCCGCTGTAGCTTTGCCCCCGTCCTGCAGCCACACAAGCAGCTTCTTGCGATCACCGCTTCTCCGGGGTAAATAAGAGGCCTGAGCCATGCTTAGGTTTTTAAGGAAAGCAAAACAAAACTGTTGGGTCAGATGCTCCTCAGGCTCCTCTTTGCCGAGGGCTGTATGGCTGCGGGGAATGTAGGTGCTAACACCCGCCCCCCCTTTTTTTTTTCCTTCTTATTTCAGAAAGTTTGCACCAAATGTGGAATAGAAACTCTTGGACCCCAGAAACGTCCTCTTTGGTTGTGCAAGATCTGCAGCGAGCAGAGAGAGGTAAAGACGGCGCTCGGGAGGCTTGGTGGGGACGGGCAGGCTCCGTGAACACGCACGACGGCCACAACTTCGGTTTGCAATGGGGGGAAAAAACCCAGCAGCTCACATTGCTTTCTGCATCAGGCTTTCCTAGCTTTGGCCGTAAAGAGACTTATTCCCTTTTGCTGCCGTGCTGTCCCAGCCCCGGGGCAAACACTCGCTAACACTTGTTCTTTACTGCAGCTGGGGGGATCTATAGCAGTATTTGTCCCTCTAAAAATAACTAGCATTATTTTTAAGTCTGTCCCATCCCCCCCCCTCCAAATCCCGTAGCTCGACGGCATGAGACTTCCAGCACAAGTCTCTAAATTTTTATATCCTTCATCCTTGAGTTTACATCGCAAGAAGTCCTAGCCAGCCTCCGTTCTTGTCTGCCAGCTAGCATCCACCAGCTCCAGGGCTCGCCGCTGTGCGGTGAAGTCGGTGAAGCTGCTCAGCGATTACAGCGGGATTTGCGCTCGTTCCCATCAGTTCCTGCTGGGCTTTTGCTCGTGGTCCCGCAGCGTCGTTCCAGCGCGGCAGCTATTTCTGACCGCCGCAGCCAGCCGTGGAACCTGCTGCTCTGCTAGAGCCATTCACGTTTTAAGTGTAGCCAGAGCATTTCTGCAGGTGTTTGAGGCGGTGAGGATTTTTATAGTAGTTGTGGAAACTTAGCGTTGCTCAGGTTTTAAAAAAAAAAAAAAAAAAAGAGGGGATGGTCTGTGTGGGAGTACTTGGGACGCTCACGTCCAAGGCACGAGGAGGAGCCCGCGGATGCTGCGTGTCTTTGAGCAGCAGTGCTGCTAGGGCAGCAGCAGTCCTCCACCGCCCTGGCTGTTGCTGGCAGTCCGCTGTGCTGAATCATCCAGATGTTTTGCCTCCCGAAAGGGAGAGTGAGGCAGGTCAACGTATTCTCTGGGTTCTGCAGGGGGATGAGTGTGGAATTCAATTGACTTTGTCTGTTTTTTTTCTGTTCGTTGTGTATTCTTTCTCTTCCCTGCGGTATTTGCTTTGTAATTGCTTTTTTTTTCTCCTCCCCCCTAATTTCTTATAAAAATAACGAGGAGCCGTGGTCACTAGACAGAGAAGAACATTAACCTGTGCAGTAAGTGTCATGTGGCCAGTGCGCGAGGGTGCAGTAACCTTCAGAGCTCTCTCCCTCCGTGAAACCCGAGATCTGGCCAAAGTGCCTCTCTGACGAGAATGGGTGGAACCTGCCCTCCTAGCCTGACTAAAGAGTAGCCCCATCGTTCCTCCCAGTCCTGAGCTTCGTCTTTATTTTGTTTTGCTTCTCTTTAAGGTCAGGCCAGGTCTGCCTCCTTTGCCGTTGGTGGTGGGGCTGGTGCCCCGGCCAGGAGATGGCTGGAGGGGCTGCAGCGTCGGGCCGTGCCACCCACCCTGTCCTCCCACGTGCTTCGCTTTTGTTTTGGAGGAGGGCAGGAAAGCGTAGAGAACTGGCAGGAGCCTTGAGACGTGTCAGCCAGGCCAAAGGAGGCTGAGGCACTAGCAGATGAAACGCCGGGAACGCGAGTCCTCGCTTTTGGCTTTGATCAGATCTGCCGTAAGAGCCTGTGTAAGGAGGAAACGAGAATTGCCAAAGGCTGGTGCAGCCCCCGAGGCCGGTTCGGGTGTCGCGCTGCTTACAGAGCTCGCACGCAATAGCCCGGTTTCTTTGAAGGGCTTGTGTTCGTGACCAGGTCCGTGTTGCCGTCTGTTTCGGTGATCTGGATCTGTCTCGTGTTGCCATCTGCTCTGGACCAAACCCATTTGGCCCCGTTCTTTGCTGAAGGTTATATCTGCCATCAGCGAGTGCAGACGGCTGTCTGCTCTTTGGGATCAGCTATTCTTTTTTCTGTCGATAACCCTCCAAAGCCCTGCCCGGTGAGTGGGTATTGGCCCCATCTCGTTTCCTGGGAGCCAGGCAGGGAGCTTCAGCATCCCGCACGGGCACTTGGGGTGGTGGGATGCCGTAACACGCCAGCACCACCCTTCTTCCCTGCGCACCTGAACGGGGCCCTGCCTTAGCGCGTGCCGGGGGGAGCGGTCGGTGCCGGGCCGGAGCAGGGTGGGCTGTGACGAGACGCGGCAGGCGTGGTGAGATGCGGTGCTGCCAGGGGAGGTGGTTCCCCCCCCACCTGAGCGCTTTGGTGGCGGTCTGTAATTTTCTGAACCGCCGCTCGAGCTACTTGGGCGTGATATTTATGAAGCTCTCATCCCCGCTAGTGCGAGACTGGCAGGCGCTGAAGTGAGAAACGGAGGTCATTCGGAAACCTGGGCGGGCTGAGTGGCGTTGGCTGGAGTTAATGAGTGTTGTCTGGCTGGGACAAGAGCCTGGGACTAATTGTCCCCTTTAGCCTCTGCCGTGCACCGCGTGCGCACGTGAGCCTGGTGGCCCACCAGGATCTAAAGCCAGGACGGTGGGGTTGGATGTTAATGTGGGCTGGCTAGCAGCCAAAGCATTATGGCATTGCTCATGCAGGCTAGAGCTCTCATCGCTGCGTCTTCCTCGTTATTGTTTATACCTGTAGGCTTGATTTAAGCGAGGGAAAGTTTAGTGACAGGTTGCAGTCGTCTTCCCCCCTTTTGCTGCATAGACAGAGTGTGTGCTGGCGTCAGCTGTCGTTAAGTCATGAGCACCCCTAGGTTGAAGTGAAGACGGAGGTGACAAGCTATTGCTTACATCGATTTTTCAGTGGGAGTCGAATGCCTGATTCCCACAGATCCCTCTGGAAATCCCAGCCCCAGCCACTCAGGAGTGCGCTTTGCTTTCTGTTTCCTTGAAAACCTCCACCGGGAAGGCTGTGCTGCATAGCAATGAGGAACAGGTTGCTCTGACAGTGGCTTATTTCTGGAGCGTGGAGGTGATTAATGGATTCGGCCTGCTGCTTGCATCCCAGGCAGCCAGCAGCAAAACAGCGCGTTGGGCAGCGTTGGAGTCGCCGAGCGCGATGCGTGCCCGCGGGGCGAGGGTCTCCGAGCCGCCGGAGGGGCGCGGGGAGGGACGTGCCGCCTTGTCCCGCGGCCAGGGACACGACAGAGCCCGAGTGGTGCTCCTGGCAAAGGGGACGTTCCCGCAGACCAGCAGGCAGCCCTGCATCGTAGGAGCATCTCTTCTTCCGGGAGTAAAGTAGATTAGAAATGCTTTCGGCCAGCGCTGGCCTGATTGCAGATACCGCTTGTCCTGGCTGTTTACAGAAGCATCTCTGTTTTAAAAAAAAAAAAAAAAAAAAACCCTTTTTTTTTTCCAGGATTTTGCGCCTG